TTTTGGATTCCAATAGCTGACCCATACATTTGATAGTTAGTTCGATAAGCATTTATGTTATTGTCGCGAGTGCAAACCATATTGCGAGGATCTTCAATCTTGTTGCCAAAGAAATAATGCTTGTTGATATCGTTGCTTTGAATGCTATTAACACTTCGTGCACCGTAAGGTAATTGTGACGCAATGCGACGGGAAATTTGCATTTCATTTTCCCAATTTCTTTGATCCCTTAGTGATATTGTTTCTTCAAGCTTTTCCCTTTCAATTAGTATATTGTGAGGCCAGACGGAATTATATTGAGTTTTAAGCTTCTTATCATCATCATCATCATCATCATCATCATCATCATTATCATTATCAACATCATTCGGATCCTCATTCTCAATTTTCATAATATTAAAATTCCTTGGATTACAATATAATTGAGAGTTTGCATGAAATTGAGGAAATCTTACTCTATTTTCACGCTTAAGTGAACCTATCCGTCGTCTTTTCATATTTTCAAAATTAATTAATTTTTCTTCGATAGGAAAATTATTATTAATTATTGTACGATTATTGACATTCATCTCCCGATTTATAGCTGGCAAGTAATTTCCATTTGACTGAGATAGTGATTCATGTTTCAAATTATATGGATTATGTAATAGATAACTACTGTCATTGTTTTCATACATTTTCATAAATACTGCTTCGTTTCTGTTATCGTGACTGTATTCGTGGCGGTTGGGATTGTGCGGTCTTGTGACTAACGAGTCGGAGCGATTAGCACTGATGACATTCATTCGATGTTCCCCGATTGATTTAACATCTGTATCTTGTCTTGCGTTGGCGTCCCGATAATATCTCGCAATATGCTTTGCATGCTCATGCGTCGAATTTATTACATTATACGAGTGATTATTATTTTTCGCAATATCCGAATCATCAAATTTATATGAATTGATTTGTTGTGTCATATCCTCGGTCATTGCTTCTGTATTTATTGCACTGGTATGTGTGTGAGTCTGCAAAGACGGTCGACTATCACTCCGACACTCCGACATTTCATATGAACTGTAAGGAAATGGCGAATTGTCTCGATGGGTATAATTAGTTTTTGACTTATTTAGCTTATCATCCGAGTCAATGTCGGACGTACGAGTCGATTCTTGCAACTTAACTTGATGCGTCTGCAAATCTGATTTATTAGTTTTTTTAATTTTAAATAACTGAGTTTCTCCGGTCGTGGTTTTTTCATTTGAACCGAGTTGTTCTCTCTTCTCTTCTCGCCCTTTTATGTTGGGAGCTCTCAGGCTTACCTTAGCTTTTGTACGTCTCAATATATTTTCCAATTTTCCAATATATCGCCTTTTCTCAGCTGAGGCTGACGCGGATGCTTTGTTTTCCTGCGCATATGAATTTTTTTCAAAATATATATATTTTTTATTTTTATTATTAAGTTTAATAGCAAATTACCGGTATGAAGAGACGAGTGCTTAGCCTTTCCTTTTTCATTTTTTGAATTTCTCTAAATTAGGAAATAAGTGTTTATTTAGGTAAGTGTGCATATGTCTATTTTTATGAATTAATTACTTTACTTACATACTCAAGGAGTGTCTGGCCTCTAGTATTAGCTTAGGATTTTTACAATCTTCTGCTTTCTTCTTCTTTAAAAAACTGTTAGTTAACATTTTCAACCTAACGATTATTTTAATAAAAAAATAAATTTTAATAAAATATTAATTATAATAACAAAATTCCGATAAAAAATATAATAAAGAAAAGCATAACAAAAGTACATACAACTGAAATTTTAATACAACTTAAGCTCATCTTGAGATTGTTTTATTTGTACAAACACGCCTAAAAACACAAACACACACACACACACACACACACATGAGACAAGTGCTCATGATCGTTCGCCAAGATACCCGAGCTACGTAGAGGCGAAAGAAGGTGCGGAGCACGGTGCCTCCAAATGTCGACCTACTTGTGGTCCGCTTGATACAGTAGGGAGCATGGCCGCAAGCCCTGAACTACAGGGCACTGTCAACGAATTCGTGAGCAGAATGCTTTAGGCGCTAAGGCGGTCAGAGAGACAGTCAATAGACGGAGGGAAGAGGGAGTGGCAGCCAATAGGTTTTTCCACTAACGTCCCACCATTTAAAGCTTTATTTTTTGCAACCAGCCTCCGCAACGTGGTGGTAACTAACGGTGATCGCTGAAGTGGTCGACGACATGTGTACGGGGGGGTAGTTTCAATGCGTAGGCTCCATGTATGGCGAATCGTGTGTGCGTTGCTGGTGCAGCAGTATCTTTGGAATCTTTGATGCTAGCGGTAGCTTGGGAAGATTTTTGTCTCCGACCCGCATAACAAGAAAAAACACATACACACATACCTCAAGTTCCTTATCGCAGCGATTTATTGTCAACGTATTAAAATCGCTATAGGCCCACAAGGATAAATTCGAGCCGAATTGTACACACGAAAATGTTCTCATCCCATTTAATACGAACTTTTTTTTTTTATTTTATTTAAATTGTTTCATTTATTTATTTTTTATTATTATGTAGTTAATCAAAATTTATTATCATCCAATTTTTAATTTTATATTATGATTTAGTTTCATTTTTTTTTCTGCATTTTCAATTAATTTATTTTTTAATTTAATGTTAACTTTAAATATTTGCTTTTTACTTATGTATATTTATTAAATACATTTTCATATATTTCAAAATTAATTTATTGTAACGTTTATCTATTTAATTAATATTATCGTTCCGCATAACGATATTTTTATATCAACTGTGCCGTTTAACTAAGACAAAAAATCCACGTTGACCAACAATTTTAATTGAAAGTGTAAATAATCACGTCAGAACACGTTAAAAGGACACGTCAGCAAAGCTTTTCATGAAATACTTCCACTAATCGTTTTTACTCAAGTTACGTGGTTGCCTGAAAATAATAGTGCGAATATAAAAAAACATTGAAATTGTTGAAGCAATGCAAAAAAAATTGCAATAATTGTGAATAGAATAAATAATGTAAAGCTTATGTACGAATGGATTTATAATATGATTGTATCCCTTGGTCTATGATTTTTGATCCAAAAGTACGAATTTGGTACAATACAAATTTCTACAATTTCTTTCAATCCTTGTGTGTGTGCTAGAAAGGCAATGGTCACGGTTGCTTGAATGCTTTCCCTTCTTTTCACTTTTCTTTTTTTCTTTCTTTTTCTTTCCTTTTCTTTTTATTTCTTTTCTTCTCTTCTCTTCTCTTCTCTTCTCTTCCTTTTTCTTTCTTTCTCTTCGCTTTGCTTAACTTTTCTTCCGTTTCTCTTTCCTTTCCTTTTCGTCGTCTGTGCTGATCTTCTCATTTTTCCACTTTTCTCTTCTTCTTCTTCTTCTTCTTCTCTCTTTTCCCTTGTCTTTTCATATCTTCTCTTACCTTCTCTTTTCTTCTTTTCTTTCCACTTTGCCTTTTCTCTCTTCTTATTGTTCTCTTTTCTCTATCTCATCTCTTTCTATCTTCACTTTTCATCATAAAAATTCAATAACGAAAATATATCTTCTTTACAATTGCGTAATGTATATATATATATGTCAAATCTATATTAAAAATAAATAATATATATATTGATTGTTGTGCCTTAGATCAAAGCATATAAACTTATTTCTTCATAAACGAAGTGCTATCGATCCGTTCGGAATTATACTTTTTTGCTTTACATTTTCAGACAAGTGCAATAAATATCCAATTGCCAAACATTTATCAAATCTTTTCTTTTAGTTTTCAACTTCTCAATGCCTTACAAATAATTGGAATTCATTTAGACGAGCTTATGTCAATTTATGTTCATGATCTTACTTACTTACATAAAATAAACGAGAAATTGAACTTCTTCTTGTCAAAAAATTCATCAATTAGGTAGAAAGGTCTAAGGAGCTAATAATCGCAATCTTAATCGCAGCATCGTTTGCGAAAAATATTGAACGAACATGAATGCGCTAACATGCATAAAATTGAGACTGCCAACGCTAAACGATCATTCAGTTTTATATATTTTTTGCACGAGATATTAATATCATAGCGTTATATAAGATAGATTTGAAGAAAGTAAAAAAATCAATTGTTAAAAAGGAAATTTAGGGAAATTTGGCGAAAAATCATCGCATTTAATAAAGAGATTATGAAAAACAATCCATACTTACTTTTGTTTGACTATTCTGTCGATAATAGAAATGAGAAAATTGATATTAAGTCAGGGAAGAGAGTACACTTTTATATGACTTTTCATTGTGCTCTCACTACATTGGTAATGGTGTCAGATCTACTGGAATACATAGAAGAGAATTGATTATTTAGTTCGATATTAACGATGTTTGACGATATTAAATATTTGGACGAAAGTGATGCGGCCGTTCGGTACGTCGATCTGCTCTCTGACTTCATATTCTCATAATGTAGAATCCTCAGGTAGCAATCTATCTGTAACTATTGTATCTATTGCCTAACGATTTAATTATTCACGCGATTAAATCTTAAATGATTACTAAGAGTGCAATAACTGAGACCGAATTTAACGAGTTGTTGCTCCTGCTCACAACATCCATGAAGTAAGGAATCTATTCAGACAACCGTACGGGTGCAGTCTATCCATCAAAATCTATATTTATCCTACAGGAGAGTGAAGAAATTTCGCATAAAGTTGTTTTCTCTCATTCAGGTCGGATTAAGCATAAGGCGGAGCAAAAATTTATTTTCTTCTTTTACCGGACCTTGGAGTTTAAATTACTTTAAATTACATAACATTTCTCAACATCATTCACTAATTATATTTTTGCTTGACGAAATATTAAACAACGAAAATCGCTTATCAACGTTCTAGATCGTATTTGAATTTTATTAACAACAATAAATGCAACATTAAAAGTTAAAACAATTGAAACAGATATTGCAATATTTAGTAATTTTGTTTTTTCAAAAAAAAAAAAAAAAAAAAAAAAAACATATTTTTTTTTCGAAAATGTAGGAAACATTTTTTAGCTAATTGCTGTTATTGGCCGTTGAAAACGATGATGAAGAGTATGAACGATGGATTTGTGGTCCTTGCTCCAAAGCATCAGCGTTACTAATTGCTCGCGATAGCAGCAATTGATTATGCATATTAATGCGCGGCCGAGAATTGCGATGCATTTGTGAACCGAAAGCAATTTGTAATGATAGACGTTTCTGTGATAGCTGAGCCAATTGCTCGGGTGAAAGTTCTATCAATGGCGCATTAGATGAGCTTGATGGCAACGCTGGTGGTGGAGTTACTGGGGCACTATTTGTACATGTGCATGCATTTGAATTAGTTATTGACAAGTTATCGTTTTCGTTAACTCCATTTTCGATTGAATACATTTTTCTGGTATCCTTAGCCTCAAATATTTTAATAATTGGCATCGGAGGTGCAAGTATTATGCCGGCTTTACGAAATTGTTCCAAGGCGTCATCGTATGTAGGTAGGCCGGACACTATGGTATAAGAAGGTAGGGACTCCATCTCATAGTTAGGTGGATAATTGCGACATGTCTCTACCGGGTCTGTCGCGTCGGAGCGATCTGAAAATAAAATTGTACACATAATATTATTAGAATAGAATGCAAAATAAAGTATTCTTTCCTTTTTTTAATTCAATCGAAATCAAGTCGAATATTTTTCATTCATATTATAAAGTTACAGACCTAATGCTCTCTGTTAATAAATCTCAAGATCACAAGATGCTCCAAAGAAAAATATTTTATTCAACTGAGTTGAGCTCATTGGGAAAATTGAAGTCTGTTTTGGAAGTATTGATAAACCACTTGATTGAATCGGTACCGAAATGCTAGAGAACCGTTGCGCTGATTTTATGATTCCGCGAGGAGATTACATTGATGAATAAAACTGAATGGCGTACGAAAAATGTACATTTCTTACTTAGGTCGGAAAGTTTTCAAGAAACTCCCGTATAAGCCCACGCATGAAAGCAGCAAGCGTTCATCCTAAGCCTAATGCTGTAAAGTTAGCAATAGGTCTTACCAGAAGTTACGCAATTTGAATAATTGAAAGTGTTTCAGAACACACTCAACGAAATCAATATAATCTTGATACGAGACAGTTAATGTGTACTTCAATTTTTTAATAACTTTTTCGCTCATTATATAATCCAGGAAAATTCAAATAAAATGTAATCGAAAATGTCTTTGGCGTCCTGTTCGGATAACTTAGATCTGTCTAATATTTCTACTTTCCGAAACCAGATTGTCATTGTGAGTAAGACGTTTTAAGCTGAGCAAACAAGGAAAATAAGTTGAGTATCACGAGTTGAAGATCACACCTTAATGGTGCGTCAGGTGCTGGCTTCAAATTCAGATATTTAACTTTTTCTAATTTGTATATGATAGTTTTTTGCCTATTGTGGGAACGTTATCCCGCAAATTTTTAAACTTGATCTGGCATCATAAATTTAGAGAACATATATGCCACGTTTCAGCCCATTTTTTTTCCTATTACGGTGGATCGTGACCACTGTAACAACATCTAAGTAGCATGTAATACACAAATTGTTTTATGCTAATCGAAAGAATATATATCTGCCGTTGGATCTTCAATGCGCAATTTTTCCCTTTATAAAAGCGGAAACATACATATCTAATATAATATCGTGTTTCAGCGACGTGTATAAAAGGCAACCAACGCTAGCGTATTACTTATTTGTCACACATACGTATTGTTGCACATTTTTATTATGGGAAGCATACTCTTATCTAATAAGATTTTAAAAAAGAAAACATGTATTGTTTGAATCGTATATACGAAGATGTTTTAAATAGTTAAAAAAATTTAGCTCTTATCTTCACTCATTCATCAAACTTATCTATCTATCATTTCATTTTACATAATTCTGATCTTTTTAGCTCGTTTTTAATATTATGTTATTATTTATACTTGATTTGTTTCTCGCATAACATGCTCTCTCCGACTTGGTCATTCATCTTGTGGATTATGTTATTAAGACAGGGTCGTTAACGTTATCAACAAAACCAACATTTAGTGGATTTTAACCAGATCACTTGAATAACAAATTTAAAGAGAGGCAGCTCTATGTAATAATCGAAAATGTCAAGCTATTTCATTTAAACGCAAAGATTGAATGTATTATAAAGATTCTGCAATTATATAGTAAACAGAATATGCAAGCAGAGAAAAGGAATAAATAAGTAATTGTAACTATTTACATGGTGTAGAATAAAAACAGATTTAACACAATAATAGGTTTTGCTTATTCAATTGGAGAAATAGGAGAAAGAGAACGAGAGAGAGTGAGAGAGCGAAAGAGAGAGAGAGAGGAACGAACGAAAAGGTAAGCACGTACAAACAGTTGGCCATAAAATCAAATAAATGTATGTGGAACATGCAGCGCTCATACTATATAACTCTATATAACACAAATAACAAAAAAAAAAAGTAGAGAAGAAGAAAGCGGCGTCAGTGGATTTAATAATTGTGTAAAAAAAGGAAGAAGCGAGAGGGGGAGAGAGAGAGAGAGAGCAAGAGAATGTTTTGATGAAAAGATTGGAGTATTAAAAAAATATTTATCAAAAAATTAAACAGAACTTGTGAATAATTCAAAAGAAATCGTTTAATAAATATAATCATTTAACTTTAGTATTTAAAATTTTAAAGATTGAACAAACGCAAAGAAATAATTATGATCAATACTTTATTAGAGCATGTGCCCATCAAAATGGAAACTAAAGATACACCAGCATTAAAAATAGTGGCAGCGAAAGAAATAACCGAAGGCCAAAAAAGTTCGGTGGCTGCACCCAGTATTCCCTTGACAATGACCGGTGAAGATGATGACGTAGAAAATTTGGATGAAGAAGAGGAAGAAGATGATGAGGAAGATGATACGGAAAGTGATGTCTTAGAAGAGGATGAGGCTACTTTGATAATTAGCAGCGATGAAGAAGCTGAATTGGAGGCGCAACGTATACGTTTTGAGGAAATATTAAATAAAAATATTTTACAAAGCACAAAAAATCCAACAAAAAGACTGAGCAGGCGCAGCGATTCCAACACAAATGTATTTATAAATGAAGAGAACGAGAAGCAGCTACAAAAGGAACAAAACAAAACAGACAATCAATTAAGTGAAGAAAAAAAAATTGCTGAAAATAAGGCAACAGACCCCAGTGTCAAAACAACAGATACAAATACAAGCACAGTTAATAATGATGACAAAAACAATGAAATGCATAAAAGATTAAGTACTAATGCCATTTCCAGCGTAACCCCCGATTTAGCAACAGGTTCCAATGAAACTGAATCCTGCGGCCTTGTATATTTACACCGTTCACAGCAAAAGTTAATATTTAATTGTAAAGCCTGTCAATTGTCCTATGCGGATTTGGAAAGATTTGGCCGACATTTACACGAAAGCCATCAACTTTTCACATTAGACTGTGATGAACAAGAAAAAGAGAATTCGCCACGTAATTTGCACGCCTCCAAGACAAATCCCAATGTGAAAAAAGAACCTTTGCCTACTAATGGACAAAGGGTTGCCGCCCTGCCCGAAATTAATGAACCTTTAGAAGCCTGCGGTAATATTTGCGTTTTAAATCGTTGCAAACTATTGCTGAATTGCATTTCGTGTGAGTGTAAATACGATAAAATGGATTTGCTCGAAAATCACTTACGGCAACAGCATCATCTGTTTGATAGTCCATCTCCACCTTCTGTTGCTACTGCGGCTGGTCCCAAAATGGAAATGCAGGAGGAAGTCTTTATTATAACAGAAGTCGTTGAGTCACCAACATTCATTTTGCCCGATGCAGTCGTAATGTTGCCCACGGAAGGTGACATAAATATGGACACTGTCGAAGTGATTACAAATCTTAGGCTGGAGGACGCTGAAGTTATTCAGACGTCGACACATGACCATATTGAAAAAAAAGAGGAAGATAATGAAAATGTTGAAAAAAGTAAAACAATACTGTCTAAAAATTTAGCAAAACGTCGAGGTCGAGGTCGACCACCTAAGGGAGGAAAATTGTTGAAAGCGCCCATGAAGCCGAAGATGGCTGCGATTGGCAAAAAAGAAGTAAGAATTCATTATATCCTATAAACTTTATAAGAATACATTAATTTTTTAAAATGTTTGCAAAGATTCTTATAAAAGTTTTTCGAAAAATTTCCTACGAAGAATATTTTGTCTTTGTAAACATTTTTTTTTTTTTTTTTTTTTAGTTCAATTTTTTATACTATGGTATGAAATACTATAAGATACTAACTGCTCATGGCAAGAGAACTTATTAGCTGGAAATAAAGAATATATAAATTCTTCTTAATGCCAGTCTACTTATATTGCCAAATATTTTCTATAAGAGTTATGCGATTCAGAAATATGTGTCGTGGTTTCGTGTAATACATTGAAAGTCTTAGTAAAAATTTGACAAGTCGTTCGTTAAATCTTACCAGCAGCACGTCTCTTATGGAACTAATATTTTCATATTATTATTATTATTATTGTTATTATTATTACTATTATTGTTGGTATTGTTATCCTTTATTACTATTATTTTAACTAATTTAGCCGCAGAAATAAATTGTAAGACTTAAAGGCTTAGCGCACTAACACCTAAAAGCTATCGGCTTCACTGAAAAATTTACCTTTTTCTTTTTCCAACCACTCCCTTTAAATACTATTAGATCAATAAAAGAAATATCAAATCTCAAAAATTATACTAAAATTATTAGCATATGGCACAGAAAACGAACAGTAGAAACCATAATTATGCTTTATGTTTTTAAATACTCAGCCTTCCTCCTCTTCCTCCTTCTCCTCTTACGTATATTTTGCTCTTTTCAATTAAATTTCCACCCTTTTGCGGGGCAAAAGCTGCCCTGTACTGTCAAATTTCATATTCTATTGAAATTTTAAGTGAATCGCTTTATCAGTCTTTTTTTTATGCATGAACTTTCAATTCCCATAATCATCATTAACTTGTATGGTACTCTTCTGGAAATGCTGTTCATTGCTGATCATTGAGCCAATGCGTTATTTATCCTACTGAAGACCAGTACCTCTTACGCTTACTTATATGCTGTTTTAATGATTATGATAAAATATTCCATAGCTGATTTGCCGGAATTTTTGAATAAAACTCATAGGTCTTATTAAGTTTGATTCTAAAAAAAAAGTCTTGCATAAAATTTTATATATATGTATATATATTTATTCGTCTTGCACAATACAATCAATTCTGCTGCTGTTTGCATGATATTATCTCCTTTTGCTCCAATTTTTCGCACAGATTTTAACAATGTTGCTCTCGTAGTAGGCCTCTCTGCCTTCATAGAAAACTTTTCACTTTACAAACTTTCCAAATCGACGCACTTTCAATTGAGAAATTGTTCGATGAACATTGAATTAAACTTTTTCTACTTGTTGTTACGTAGGCGAAAATGTTAAAGTTTTAATTTTTTTTTCGCTTTTATTTACAACAACAACGATTACGAAAATTGACTGTTTTATTTTATTAAGCCCTACTCTTAACTTTATTTTAGGATTTTGATTATTTGCAACATCGATTTTAGATTTATTTACTTAATATTAATACTACGCCGTATCAGGGCAAGAATTTATCTGACATTATATAATTATTTTCCAATTGTTTCGATTTCAATTATCTAAATGAAAACATAGTTGTTACTGAAATATACAGAGAACGCAGCACGAATTTGTTCCAAAGTTTTGGATCCATGTACGTATAAACATCTATGTATATATATATTTATATAATCCATATATATAATATATCTTTGCTATATCTTTGCTATACGCATATATAACTATCTATCGTACGTGGTTGAGGTGTGTGAACAAATATTGGATCCGAGCGATATGCGAGAGCTGCTTAAGATCTTGCTAACGTCGATATTAATATAAAAGTCAAGTGTTTAATATAATTTTCTCTTTTTCACAAAATCGTATTATCATCACCGAAGACTGTGAATATATTGTTGCCTTCATTCGGCTCGTAAACGCGTCTGCGTCTCTCTCTCATGCTTTATGTAAGGCGAACAATTAATTTATGATGATTAGCTCTAATATATATATATAATATAATATATATATATATATATATATATATATATATATTGATTTTGTGATATTAATGTATGGATATATTTTTATTTAATTTAAGTGTCGTTGGCTTAAATTGAATTTTTTAAATGGAAAAAATTTCATTGAACGAAAAGTGAAATTTTTCAAAAACTAAACAAGAAAGGCTTGATATGCACAATAATAATAATTGAAAGCGAGTACTACTGCATATAATTACTACGAATTTACGTATATGTCGGTCCGTCTATCGGCTTTTAATGAGGTTAAGGTTGCATTTCAAAACTGCTTTACGCTTAAAATATTGAAAAAAGAAAACCTAATAAAATTTTGTCGAAAAAATATTAATTCTACGGGTTGTCAATATAGAATTTGGTATACTTATTAGAGCCATCCAAAGTGTACTTTTTTTTTTTTTTTTTACTTTTAAATATATCTTAATGGAGTTGAGTATCCAAAATTCTCTTCTACAGGTGAATATAACTGTTTTAATTGCGTTTAAAATTAATTTTAAATTTTTTTATGATTTCTAGCCTAAAAACCTTCAGCAAACCTTAAGACGTTTATTGGAAGAGACAGAGGAAGATAATCAAAAAGTAGCAAAACCAAAATCTATTGGCGCTAAACGAGGACGTAAAAGTAATAAGACGCAGAAAGGTAATGAAACAAAGCCGGAGGTGTTCGACGAAACTGCGAAAGATAAGAACGTTGAAACGGTAACAGAAACTAAAAAATCGACGACTGCCACTGAGTCAACATTAGATAAGGATGTGGCAGCAACTGAGGATGCGAGTTCGGTTAATGAGGTGATCACGCTAATTTATAACTCGTTGACAGATGGAACGCGAGAAGAATCTGCTGCTGGTACGTATATATTACCCCATGAGATTGTACCGCCTGAAAGTGCACCAAAACGTTTTCCTTGCGATCAATGTGAACGTTCTTTCAATAAATCGTCGCGTCTTATCGAACATAAGCGATTGCATACCGGTGAGAAACCATTTGCTTGCGACGAATGTCCCAAACGTTTTCGGATTAAAATGCGACTGAATGAGCATAAGATGCGTCATCGGGTGGATAAAAAGTATAAATGCGAGGTCTGCAATTTAGGTTTGTCGACAAAGCAAGATTTAACTTTGCATATGCGTCATCATGCTGGCGATCGTCGCTATCAATGCACAGAATGTCCGAAAGCATTTGTACGTAGCTCAGATTTAAAAATTCATGTACGAATACACACAGGCGAAAAACCGTTTGCCTGCGATATTTGCAATAAATGTTTTAGAGCCAATCAAAATCTTATCGTACACAAACGCTCTCATATGGGCGATGATTGCAAAACTTATCAATGCGATCGTTGTGAGAAACGATTCATGCGCAATATTGATCGTAAAGTTCACATGCGCACCCATACGGGCGAGAAACCTTATAAATGTGAAATATGCCAGAAACCTTACTCGTCACGCGTACATGTCCGCGCCCATATTGAAAGGGAACATTGCACTATCGAGGAGGGTCAGGCTAAGAAAGTGAAAAAGAAGAGAGGTCCAAAACCGAAGGCCTTACATGAAGAATTAGAAAAGCAAAAGAAACTTATTGAAGAGCTTCAGGCGCAACTGCAAGCACAAATGAAACATGATGAACCATTGATTATAGAAGCTGATGCAGATATTTGCGACAATGCTATAAATAAGCCAGAACCTTCCAGTACACCAAATTCCCCACCCATTGTAAGTGATACAACCGGTGTAAAAGGTAATAATGCTGCAGCCGTCTTACCACCGTTAACAATAACGCAAAAAATTGATCAACATTCCCCCAACTCACCACAGAAAGTAGTTAATCAGAAAACTTCACTAGGCATACAACAGGTCTCCGTGACTGTGTCGATGCAAGTGGAGAATGTGCCGCAAACGACAACAACAACTATGGAAAAAGAAAATGCATCTAAAATAAATTTAAATACACCAACACCAACGACTGTTAAAAAAGAACGAAAGATCACTAGCTATTTCACCGTCATAGGTCAAAAGAGTAATGTTTGAATACTGCTTTAATTGCTATTCGCAGAAAGACATCTTTCATCTTTCTCCGCAAAATGGTACGTTACACTTTACTTATTGTAATTGTTGTGTGTTGTATCCTCTCATAAAATAATTGGGGAAAATCAAAAGGAATTTTTCGAAAACACTCCAGATTTTTCGTTTCATAAAAGTTTTTCTATTCCCGTTAATTTATATAATTTTACGGAGATCATTTATTTTAATCTTTGTGCTGGCAATCGGCCCATGGGGCTTATTGATTCAGATCAAAACGCTTTTATAATATTTTATATATAATATTTTAATTAACGTCGACTTGAAATTTGTAAAAAAAATATTGCAATTCGGGCCGCTTATGTAAATGTTTAATGTATACATTCATTCACATTGTGAAGAGGTTTACGGTCACAGTAAATGTGCACGCACCTCCTTGATAGCTAGGACAAGAGATTTATTTATAATATTTAGTAATAAAAATGGCGAGTAATAGTTCGATGTTCGTCATGGGGCTGGCATAATGCTTCTTCTTTTTGCTTAAATTTAATCCGAAGAAGGGGAAAAAGAAAAAGGAGGATAAGCAGAGATAGAAATTGTAGAGAGGAGAGAAAAGAGAGTAATATTAATGCTTACATAAGAAATGTTCTAAAATTGTAAATTTTAAGGTTCAAAGCCTCGCAACAGGGTTTTACTTTTATTAATTTTATGAAACTTAAAATTTGTGAATCAGAATTATTATTATTATTAATATTATTAATATTATTATTATTTTTTATACACGCACATGTAAAAGCAGCGTCGATTTTTTCGTAAGGGAAAAAAATGAAAATAAAATTAATTTAAGGAACAAAGAAAAAAAAAAAAAAATAATAATAATAAAAATAAAAAAGAAAGACTTAAAGACTTGTAAACATATAAAACCTCCTTTAATATCCTTCCTAACTTACTTATCTGATAAGTTTATACAACTCTGAGGTTGTGGGTTTCGCAAACTAAGCCAACGCAACGCTAAACCATAAAAACACTTCCTACGGTTTACTGTAACTTTTCTTTATATACCGTTAACTTATATTTAGTTTCATACATATATATATATATATACTCATTAGGGCGTTTTTTTTATATATATACATATATATATATATATATATATATACTTTTACACGAAATGTAGTTCAGATGGTTTACAATGAAATTAAAAATACACATATAAATATGTATTTTTTTTTTTTTTTTTTTTTTTTTTTTTTTTTTTTTTGTATAACTTTTGGAATAATGTATTTATGCTTAACTTTTAAAAGACACTCATTTACTTAATAATTTCCAATAATTCTTTTAAGACTTGTTTTTTTCTACACATTCAATACAAAATATGAATTTATTACAATATAGAATTTTTTTTAATGGAATAATTTAAATATTTACATACTATATTGGTGTAACTTATTCCTTAATTTCCGTGATGACACTTTCCAGAAATACAACAAATACTTAAAAATGTTAAAACACTTTTAAATTTATATTAAAATTGGAAAAATTAAACTTTTATTTAGCGGAAATTTTACGCCCGTCTAGAAGGTTATGTAAATTTATTTTATTTATTCAGCCGTTATATATATCACATACTACTTGTTGATAAGGGACATGTCAAATTTGTGGGGATGTGCGGATGTATGCACAACATACCGAAAGTTTTGGGATAGACCAAGCTGTTATGGTGTCACTCGGAATTCAGAAAAGCGGATTCAGACTCACTCTCTTCGGATGAGTTCTTCGGGAGAAGCAACCCCTTTTCGTGTAATGCTATGGCTATTAGAAAGAAGCGAGAAAAGCGAATGTGATACCAAGTGGTGACGTGAAGTCTAATGGGTGTATGCGTAATCGGTAAGTGTTATTTCGTCAACGATTGAGCAATCCACTGTAGCTGTGATTAAAGCCACATCTGGCACAATCGGGACTTGAAGCTGCGAACATTAACTTGGTAATCGTGATTCTTACCTACCAGACTACGCACGGGTATAATTCATTCTCTGCATCGATTTAAGCATATCTGCTCGTCTATTATAAAATGTTATAGTTGGGCAAGGCCGACATCAAATACCCTAGACTACATTGTCTTTTACAATTCTTAACTTAACTTCGTAAAATTATATCAAGACTTACAGTCTTACAGTTTCCATGTAAACGCATACTTTTCAAGTGCGACCTTATATGAGAGCCGTAATTAGCAAAAGTTTCGTTTCAAATATCATTTCATATTTCACTTATTTTGATCATAAAGTACTGGAAATTTTACTTTATTGACTTATAAATAATTCCCTTAGCTTAGAACTCATAGAGTAGTATAGGTAACAAATGCCATTTTGGGTCAAATTTTTAATATTGATTAACATTTAGCAAAAAATATTAAAAAAATTGATTTTTTTTTGTATAATATTAAAAAAATTGATTTTTTTTTGTATTTTAATTGTTTATCTCGCTCTAGAGCCCTTATGAGGAAGGTAGTTCAAAAAATTGTCTTCAAAAGTAGATCGAAATATTATTATTACTCAGCAGGAGATGCGCTTAGAATAGTAAACGGTTCACGATAATTGTTGGATCGAAAATTTGGATCGCATTATTTATTATATTTCCAAGGGATATAAAGTTATTGATGAAAATAAGATGAAATTTTCGCGTCTTTTTCGAAATAATATCAACTTCCCGTCTATTGTCATTGGGCTGTCAATGCGTTTTGTCATAAATGATTTTCTAAATAGATGCAAAACCAAAAGCTCTAAAAAATATCGCCCTAATATCAATTAATACTCCCCGGTAAGAATAAATATAATTCATCCGCATTCTGAAATATAAAGCAATTAAAAGCACTATAGTGGGCGACGGCCACCATTAAATATCGTACATTACGTCACGGGAAAAAGCTATAAAGCAAGCATACGCCGTGAATGCCACGTGATCATTTGAAAATGTATCAACAAAACGTTAAATGAAGATGGAAGGGGGCATTTTAGTTGCATATATATATATATATGTATGTGTATGTGTATGTATGTAAGTATTTATAGTTTCTTAGAAGTTTTTCGCTTTTGATTCAATCCAATGACTTTTCAGCTCTTTTACGTTTAAACATAAATTTGCTCTATTGTTATGGCGCTTAATATTTGAACCGTTACCTAGCGTATAGCGTATGAGAAGAGCTTGATGTTGTAGTTATTGTAGTCTTATTACTATCATGTTTCATTCTCCACGGATTGTTATCTTATTATGTGCTTTTTGTTGCCTTTGTTTCACAATTTTTTTCTTTCAGTCTCTTTTTGCCTGCGCTTATATGCAGTTTATACAATCGGTTTGTGGCATTTTCGTTCATTTCATCTGTGCGCTATACGTGTGCACATTTTTCCGTATTATTCATTTACGTGATTCCTTTTGTTGTTGTTTTTTTTTTTTTTTTTTTTTTTTTTTTTTTTTTCATAAATATAGAAACGTTTGTAAGCTTATTCGCTTTTAATAGCCAGTAGAAAAGTAGTATGAATATTGTTTTGGAATCTATTTTGTACCTTTACGAGAGCGCTCTGGTGTATATTAAATATTTTATAAATCAGATTGTTTTGGAAAGTCATTGCATTCTTTCGCCCAACAAATGGATTTAATAGCATTCTTTCACAGCCAAGCGGGCAGTTGAGCCGCATTTTCATTATGTAATTTAACAGTTAGGCCTGAGGTTAAGCAAGGCTTGTTATTATAAAGATTTGTACGATTCGACGGGATAGATTTTGTATGGTGGATTATCAGCTATGTCAGAAAGTCGAAAGCAGCAAAATCGGGCTTATTTTTAGTTTTCTAATGGTATTCAAACAACAACAAAAATAATTGAATGTGTAAGAAGAAAATGTATTGGCAGAAGATCAGTGTCTTAACAGATTTCATATATTGAAGATATACCAGATTTCAGAAGGTATATTGAAGCTAATGAAGACAGTATAAAGGGATTAACTGACGCATTATTTACCTAATAAATAGCAGCCATCTACAGGACATACAAGTGCTTAGCGTTACTTTTATTGTACTTTTAATATGAATTCATAGAAAAAATATTGCAATTAACTTGTGTGCGAATGTTTACATGATCAAGTAATGTGAAGTTAAATGGATAGAGTATTCTGGCGTTGTGATCGATCACTATTCATTCAACAGGGAAGATAAGGTTATAGTTTTTTGGCATCGCATCGAAAAGGGTAAGAATGAGTGAGCAATTTTTTTTTTTTTTGTAAAACAAGGCTGTTAAGCGTTACGGAACAAAAAAAAAAAAAAAAGAAGCAAATAAAATCATTACAATCACTCGGGTAAAAGGGGATCATTCAATACGACACAAAGCTTTGCAAATCTTTTCAACTTTTTAAACTTTTAGTAAAATACCAAAAATTATATGTTTATTTATTTATTTATTTATTGGATTTAAAGGCCGCCCGATAAATTTGATCATATGCACGCCTGTATTGGAAATTCTATCACACTTGAGACGATCAAAAAAATTATATATATTTTTCCAGCTAAAAGCACGTATGGGAGAACACCCATACAGTGGATTGGCTGACTTTAAATTGTATTAAAAATTAATCTCTTTGTCAAAAACTTTATCATTATTATTTACCCACTTTCATCATAAATACTCAAAATAAGACTTTGTTGCCACATAATGTCTTTCCTTTGGAAAGTATTGAGAGAATTGCGCTAAAATTTTATACATTTTAACTGTTTGAACGTAGTAGTTGTTTAACTTAAATAAAACGTTTAAACCTCGAAAATATTGTTAAGAACATTTCAATGAAATAAATTTTGAATATTTACTTAGTTGCTTATGAAGTCTTCAAGTCAAAATTAAAAATATAATAATTGTGTTTAAATGAATTATTGGAAAATTTAGAAGAGATTTTTTTCATTGATTATCCAATAAACAGTTGACAACAAAATGTGAAAAGTTTTTAAATAAACTTAACATTCTTTAGACTTAATTGCTTTCCGCACATCAACAATCATTTACACACATATTATTGTAAATGATTAAAGTACAATCTATACCCTAAACATGTTTTAATTTAAATTTACAAAAACAAAAACAACATAAAAAAAAAAAAAATAAATAAAAAACAGGTAAGAACATAATGGGCAAGCTGGGCATACCTTACATCATCACTTTCCCTAATACGGTTATTCACTCGTTTAGGTGATAATGCAACAGATGCACATTATTTTCATGCAACCCCATACTGCCCATAGAAGCCCAGATAGGGTGAAGGGTGACCAAAACATCACATGGCGTGATCCAAATTTAGCAAACTTGATTTACTTCTCAAAAATATTACGCAGTTTCAGTTTCGGTCATAAAAAACAAAAAGTTAGACATATCTCTCCATATAAGCGCTTGCGTTTCATGATAACCTCTGTATATGTTGGACTCTTAAAAAATTGAGCTATGCGATCCAAATGCCATATCGTTCATGAATTAATCCATGGATTTATTTTCATCATAAAATATTGAGAATCAAACCTTTTTCTAAAGTGAGAAATCTTATATCGAGTCAAGTCCACGCAATACTCCAATGTGATTCAAATTTTGTTCACTTGATTTTTTTATCAAATTGCTGTCATGAATGAATTTATGCCTTTTTGTTATATAAGGGTTTGCATGGGGTGATATCCAAAAAATGGACCAACGTGGTCCAACTTTGGTAAGGTTGATTTCTTTATGAACCAATTTTCACTATGAAATATTGAAGATTAGATTGTTTAAACATATAAACATTCGCTTTTCGTTGGATAGGTTATATGATAGGGGACTCAAACAATTGCCTCAGCCAACCTATATTTTCCACATCAATTTAGAATGTCAAAATGCTATTATCTAGCGATTTTTATCAAGAAATTTTGGAAATTACAAGTTCAAAGTGGGCCGATGTATGAGGAGTGTTCGGAGGTTGGGACCGATCAGAACCATTGAATACAAAAAAGCATGGGCAGACATCAGCGGTCAGACGGACAGAAAAAGTTGTTGGTACAGGAAGAGGTGAGTGTATCTTAACATATCCTGCATCATAAGCGATGTAGGTGTACCTTCGGTTTGAGTCGAATTTTTATATGCTATACATTAACTTGTAATATTTGAGAGTAAAATGAAGCTTAGATGGTTCGATATATGACGTATGTCGTATCGTAATTTATTGTACATATATTTGCATGTATACACCTTTAAAGCGATTCTCGATACGTATGGAGGCGTTTGTCAAATCTAAAAGATGCTTGTGTCACAGCCATGGCAACAAAGAGGCTGTATTCAAATCAGGCAGAAATTTTATATCCTACGCAACTTGCGGTCCATGGGTATATTGCGTTCTTGCTGAAACATTCAATGCACCTGAGATCTTTTATTATACCGATCGATTCAGAATTACTAAAACTTGTCTGTTCGTCTTTTTTCGTATATTCAACCTAGAGGTCGCATTTTCTGACATATTTTAATGAAATTTATTGAACAGACGGGGCCTAACACTATTAAAAATGGTTTTGAATGGTTAACTTTTTGGACTAGTTTTCCTATAACGTCTTATTTGGAAAAACTGTTAGCGACATAGTTAGTGGGGTATTTAATGGTGGACGGTACCGAATTAAAGTGTTCTTCCTTGTTTAATATTCGATTTTAATGCTTGCGCATGATATATGCGCGTGATATTGTTTAAGGTACGCTTTCCAGGCGTCAAGGTACAATTTGCCATTAAATCATTGTTTGTTTTACTTACTAATATATATTGCACACTTTTAATTAAGAATTTATATATATATATATATATATATATATATATATAAATTAGATTCATCCCTATACGTATGCGCTATAGGAGTGGAATGTAAGATATGGTTATTATAGCACTTTTACAAACCCTCTTACCATGAGCTAATTATTAATATTTGAAACAATCTGCCAAAATTGGCTATAAACACTTCCATCATTTTTTTTTTTTTGTTTTTCTTTCTTTTAATTTTTCCGCTACATATTCACACTTATTTCATACGTCTATCATTTTACGCATATATTTCAGAAAAAAAAAAAAAAAAAAAAGAAAACGAAAACGTTACTCACATGAATTTTTCCATTTTTGAAATTTATGATAGAGAAATCCGGCGCATATCAGGAATATGACCGATACTATTAGCAAAGTTAATATAACTCCTACCCATATGTCGCTGACAACGCGTGAATATTCTACTTCATCTACGTAAGTGTGAGTTACATGTGTCTGCGGGTAAAGTTGTGATCCGGAACTGTCAGCTATCGTTTCATCGTCATGAGTAAACGATGTATCTTGTTTATAATCCAACGATATATTGGTCAGGGTGACGTCGACTCCCAAAGCTAATTGCTCCAATTTATTGATTAGGACTGAATAATTCTGAAATAAACTGAATTCAATGCGTTCACTATCGTTGTGATTTGTTATTGTTGCTGTTATCGTAGTGGACGGAAGTTCTGCCATAACTCGCCGTTAGTTTGGTAAGCCTGTTTTTTTTTTCAAGTTTTCGCGATAAGTGCTTAAACAAAATAATATTTTTTTCACTCGATTTCGCCTTCGATTCGGTTCTCAGTCTAGTATCTACAGATAGATTTCCGTTTTTATATATTTAATTTTTGTTGTTTTGTTGATTTTATTTATATTTTCAATTTATATATTCACGCCTTGTTCTGTCAATTAACAAGTGAATGTTAAATATATATTTTATTGAAAATCATATATAAAAAGAAAATCTGTTATATCTGAAATTTACTTTAATAAGAAGACAATGCATTTGTTATTTTTTTTATTTTAACTGACTTTTTGTCAAAATTCGCATGAGTAGCCTACTAGGTAAAGATTGCGACTACCAAAGTCAGTGTCCGCGTGTGTTCAAGCCTTAAGTGCCTCAGACTCGGATTTCGGTCAGTGTTCAGTCGGTAAAGGCGTAACACTTAATAATTGGGGACACCCGCCGATTTCGATTTCGTGTGAGGCACACGAGAGGCATCCCCTGAGTGATTGGTCGTATTAAAAAAGAAAATTCTTTACTTGGATTCTTTTGCATCTCAAATGTTTGACTGAAATGCATTTTCTTCTAAATTTCATTTTTTAAAACTATCATTTACGCCAGCGTAAGGTTTTACAAAATCAAGCCCCACCTGTTTTACAAGATCTTTCGCAATCGGAATTACGAAATATCTAAATAGAAAAGTTAAAATCACCTTCGATTACAAATGACTGAATGTACTTTGCAAAGATCTACACAGAAGCATATATATCTATAAATATTGCATTCAGACAAAAGATGGCATTAGTCAGGGGATATTGTTGTCTCTCTCAATTATAAGTAAAATTTTGATATTGCCAATTGCCAATATTCTATAATATTAGGTATTAGGCGTGACTGAAATTTTGCCATTCTTGCAGAAGAAACGGGGAAATTTTGATCGTAAGCCGGTTGCATTTTATGCGGACAATGGGGTGAAAACACGCAGAATGCCGAGATTTTCTTAACTTACGTTGTACTATGGGCGCCGCCTTTTACTGATTTCGCCCATTTTTGATATTAACCTATATGCAACGAGTTTTAATTTGGCTTTTGCCAAATTCGAAGTAGATATCTCCGTTTTTGTTACCGTGAGTACGTCTACCATAGCAATTAACAGAGAGCCGGATAGACTGACAAACATGTCTGGAACGGTTCAGATTCGATACGAATCAATGATTTGTAATCTCTATTGGGCTTCTGGGTGCTGCAAACGTTTTAAGAAGAGAATGAAATTTTAATATCCGTCTGAGTGGCCGATTAGGCAAGAGTCTCGACCAGCAACTCAATGGTCGTGGGTTCAAATCTCAACTGCCGTAGAATTTTTCATAAAGCCGAAAGCCTTAGATGTTAGCGCTTTAAGAGTTTAGTCTTAGAATTGATTTCTCTGGCGAAATTAATAATAATAATAATAATAATATTAATAATAATAATAATATTATGTGATTTTGATTGGGCGCGGGCGATATTTATTGAATTTGTGCACCGATGTTATAAGAACACCCACGGAATATACGTAGAAATTTTTATCGTTGTATCTGTCATGGTTTATAAGTATGACGAGCAAAAATAAAAATAATTTTTTTTTATTTTTAAAAACGGAGGTGGTCTCAGATTATATTCTACCATAGGCACCGTTTTAGCACCGATTCCTAAGCCAGTCTGCGTGCAAGAACTTCCAATGTTTTGATCAAGTTTTCAGTAGCTAGCTTCCTTTTTGCGGCGAGGAGAGCATTTAACACAAACAAACGGTTTAGACGATTTCGAATTTGATGCTGATCAAGAATATATATATGCTTGTGTTGAAAAATTGATACGTCCGTCGTTCTTCGACAATGGGTATAAAAAGGTAACATGGTGGGCATAAAGGGTGGGCTATTTGTGGGTTGACTAAATAAATAATTTTATCATTTTTAATTAAACTTTTATTATTCTTCGACAAGGGCACCCACCATTCATATTTTGAGCATTGGCCATATTAAATGTTGTCAAATCCGCCTGAGTGGCCGAAGGCGAGGAATCTTGACTATCAACTCAATGGTCGTGGGTTCGAATCTCAAGTGCGGTAGAGTTTTTAATAAAAGCCGATAGCCTTAGATGCTAGTGCTTTTAAGATTTTAGTCTTAGAATTTATTTCTCTGGCGAAATTAATAATAATAATAAATATTGTCTACTGCCAACCAACGTTTGCATTGCGGAGTTCAGCTTTTTCACCATGACCCCTTTTCGGGACACTTTCTCATTTGCGCATGCTTTGTGTTGTTTACAATGAGTTGCAAATTCTGCTTCAGCGCAAAATGGGATGAACTCGTGCACATTTTCGTGCGATGTTAGGAGGTTGCAAAAATTGGCGACAGTTACTTCTACAGGTAAAAATGATAAACAGATGGGATGTAAACAACAGGGGGTATACAAAAGTTGAATTCGAAAGGCCTGGAGGACCAAAAAAGTGTGAAAATAATGAATGAAAGCCACTGTATTAGTTGATGAAGCAATTGTTTCTAGACCTCTACATGCGATGGGAAAGATTCAAAAGCAAGAAAAATGTCTGTTGCGCAAATTGACTGAAAATGTCATTTTGCCTGTTTGGTGCAAGAGTTGCCCAGGGATACACTGTTGCAGTTCGAATGAAAAGTTCTGCCCACACCAGCACGCTAACCATACATGATGCCTTCTGATTAGCACTTGTTCAAATTGGTTCAGCATGGCTTGGCTGGTATGTGGATCCGCAAAATTGAAGAAGTGCGAAAATTGATCAATGGGTGGATCGCTGCTAAACTAATATAAGTTCTCTCGATACGATATCGTCATCTTGCCAAAAATATGATAAAATGACGTAGAAAATGAAGGAAAAATTTTGGTTAATATATACCGCATCGATCGAATGGCCAACACTCTTGCAGGCTTTTAAGATTAGCAAGAATGCATCGATCGAATTACTTTCAGTTTTGGTGACGAAGTCACATGCTTTAACAACGCGAAGACGAATTTTATCGCGACCGCCATTCGCAAGTCGTTCGAAATCAGTTGTTATGCCAGAAAACATTGTTATTGGAAATTTGAGGCAGCCTTAGGCACTCGTTCGACCTGTCCGCTTAAAGAATATAGTAGCGATGTTTCATAAGACGTAAGATCGTAACAGATAATGCACGCTATCGATATTTCAAGATGAATCATATCCTGCAAAGGTGCTTGGTGTCCGAAGCATTTGTTACGGAAAACTACTCACGTAGCAGCTGTACGTTTAGAGGAACGTAAAATGATCAATTCTGAACGATATATTACCGATTGTCTATCAAGGATCTTTGGGGCGATAAGGAAAACAAAAAAACGGCATCGAATCATCCTTTTGCTTGACAATGCGAACTCGCATGCATATCCCACTCATAATCGAGTATTTATGCACTGAACAAATCGAATTAGTGGATTATGCGTCGTGCAGTTATTAATTGCGTGCATAACGATTTTCGTCGTCGGCAGAAATGGAAAATGGTTCGCAGGTATGCAAAAGTGTATGGACTATAAAGAGAGGAACCTTTTTAAAAAACAATAAAGCAATTTTTAGAAGAGAAATGATTCTTTATTGCATTACTATGCTCAAAATATAAATACTGGACCACGTACGAGCTAACTTTTGGAAATGATATATAGTTTTCTGCGATCTCTACGCAATTGACAGTAACTTAAAGTGAATAGATTTTTTCACAATTAATATGTAGGTAAGAGTATGTAAAAATTTTGTGCTTAATATGAAACATTTTGAAGCATTGTTAAGAATAAGTTTCAAGTTAGAAACAGCTCGACAGAAACATTTTGATTATATAAGAATAGAAATCTAGAAGTTAAGCGATAACGATTGTTTTTTGTTTTGTAAAAAATATATTAAATGTTTACTTAGTATCGCCTGCATCACTCGCGTGATAAATGGGTATATTAAGCTTGCGCGGACGTCTGCAACGACCAGAAGAACTTGCGATAAATCTATCTTTTATTATACCGATCGATTAAGAATTATTAAGTTTAGTAAATCTGTCCGGCTGCCTACCTTACTTGGATGAAAATCGTTACATTGACATGCTTCGGTACAGGGACAAATCCTATTGAAAATTACTCATATCCCGATCATTTTTTCGATCATATCCCATATTAGGCAACACTTTGAAAAGGTTATTTAATTATGGGCAATGTTTTTACTTAATTAGTTAATTGAATATGTCGGCTTTGTTTAGATTTTTACATTTTTATAAGCACATTACAGTACTGAAGTATGAGCGATCATCTTACCCCATTCGTGCGTCTTTCGGCAAAAATACAATTGAACGGATCTTGTAACACACACAATAATAAGTCTATATTAGCATTAAGTTTGCATGTTAATTTACAAATGTTTGCACAAAATCTCCTTCAAGCATCTCTTGTACAAAGCCGAAATTTATCCTGTAAACAATCCATTAAAATTTGGTTTATAAATTCTGTTAAGAACTCTCTCATACTAGCCAGATATGTGAATGAATTGCATTTTCCTTATGTATGCAGCAAAATTTGTCTTAAATTTGACGAGAATGAGTTCAAGTTGAAAAGGATAACGTGCGTGCGCACAGTTGAGTAAGATGTAATCGAATTGTTTTGTCTGTTTATGAATCGGTTTTATATCATTTTTTCTCTTATTTTCATTTGCAATATTTTGTAAAGGTGAGATTTGTTACATATGTATATCTAATCAGTTTTACACAGAATTTTTACACATTGTATTTATTTAAATTTTTTATTTGCTCTAACGATAACGTTTCGCTTAAGTTTTTTTAACGTTGATAGCTTTAAAGTGGCTTGTACTGAGACGCTTAAAATTGTTGAAAATGTATTCTATTATCTATAATAGAACTCTAACTGCTGCACATATAATATATATATTACTTGAAGTTACTTTACGTTACTTAAAAATTATCTTTTGAATGCGTTGCTTAGATTAAAAAGTTTATTTAAATATTTACCAAGAAATTGTGCTTTTTTTTAACATTAGATTCATTAAATTTAAATCAATCTTTCTTAAATGCTATGAAAGCACTTCTATCTCATATCAAATAGTGTTTTGTTATATTCAATGTAAAGCAAGAATAATTTTTTCATTTTTTTCACGTGCGAATAGCACGCCGTACATTATATTGCATGTTATTATAAAATAATCTAATACCATGCCACGGTCCATAATTAAATACTCTACACCATCCTACAATTATCTATAGATCAGCTTTGCAAAATAATTCGTGATATGGGAAGTGATCGAAAAGTTAGTCCGATCCGAATCATTTTCTTCAATACCGTTCATCCTTCAGTCAGAGCATGTAACTGTATGAAATTTTATCAATCACGAACTCAAGAATTGCGGCCTATAGATTAAACAAATGACAAAACAACAGATGGAGGTCCTGTCTCGGCGTTGCATAAATTCACACAAGAAGCGTAATATACCCTTGTATCACAGCTCGTGTAGGGTATAAGAGTATTACAAATTTCCTTCACTCAAATTTGAATTTTTCTAGCTGTTCAAAGATTCCAATTGGATATTATTAATCTTGTTTGACCTTCCGTCTGTTTGCTTTTAAACTCAGTTGGAGCCTGTCTTGCAAAAATTTATTATTGAAAATATAATTAATTACAGTCTTTGTTCATTTATCCATCGCTATTACCGTCTAAGAGTAAATGATTTAATATGTAACCGGAATGTAAACCGGAAACTCAAAGGAGATGCAAGAATTTTCAATCAATCGAGATTTTCAAGTCATTTCAAGTCTTTGGCACTCAATTGTCAAATGCAGAATTTTATCAATTTATTTTAATATATAAAAATTGATTTTCTTAATATATTCAAATATTAATTTTCATTTATGTATTTTTTTTTTTTTTTTTCTTTTCTAAAGTGTATTTAATTTTATTACTGTTGTTTCACGTATTATTATTATTGTTATTATTATTATTATTATATTGTTTAAGTGGAAAATTTATTTCATATTTTTTATCATATTTTCTTCTTACATTTTTTTATATGTTACAAATTAATGTTTTCTCTCAATATATAGTGAATTATTTTTCAATTCATTTCATTATTTCACGGATCGATTACACATATTAAATGATCTCGAACTATTTACATGGGTGAATCAATGCTTCACTTTACCGTAGATAAAAAAAAAAAGTTATTTTCGTATGAGTCGTTTTTACATTTTACGCTAACTTGCTTGTTTTTTTTTTTTTCTTTCATCGATTTATTTATTTCCGATATATTTTCTAAAAAAAAAAAAAAAAAAATAAAAAAAATATAGTTCATCAAAAAGCAAAATAAACCGAAAAAAAGAAAAAAAAAAGAAAAAAAAGATCGTAGTCACAAACTAAAGTAAATTCTTGGCTTTTATCATATGTTTCTTGTTTCGGTTTATATTTGCGTCGGCATGCTCTTAAACCTATCGAAAAATAACTATATACTTTCTTCAAAAGCAAAAATAATGGCAAAAAAAAAGAAAAAAACTAAAAATAAATAACGTAAATGTTCACCTTTAACAGTTTATGACAACTAATCAACTGTGTTTACTTTTGTTTATTTCTGATCTACAATTATACGACAGTTAAATTAAAAGCGTTTCACTTGCTCTTGAAGAGGAGCAGATAGGTGAGTATGAGTTGGTTGCGAATAACACGGTAACAGCGGCGAAAACTGAATGAATAAATTTTTGTTCTTTTTGAATTAAGTAAAGTAATAAGAAAAAAAACTTTTCCGTTTTTGCTTACACACAAAAACAAAAAAAAAAAAGAAAGAAAAATGAAAAGAAAAGATATGAAACCGGCATGCATACGTAAATATTGATAGTAGGGAAGAATGCAAAAAAAGTGTGATGATACATACGCAAGTATATCTAGAAAAATTGTTTCAATGTTAATTAAAAATTCACTATTTAAATATGTTTTATATTATTAATTATATAAAGAAATGAAATTGTTTGTTTTTTAAAATAAATCATATATAGGGAATGAATGGATGAAATAACATGATATTCAGATATCTGCACAATATTCATTTATTGATGCTGATGCTGATGCTGATGCTGATTTCTCGTGGAATAAATTCACGGAGCGCCTCAATAGTCTCCAAGGGAATGTTGCACTCATTCGTGTACTCATCCGCTAATGGCTTCGATGATTTTCTTAGGTGGAGATTCTCCTGCTCCTTCTCCGTTCTCCTCTAAAACTCCCCATAACGATTCAATTATGTTGAGATCCGGCAATTGGGCTGGCCAGGGAATATGTTTAATGATATTCCGGTGCTCGTCAAATTGGAATTGAAAGTTTTTGGCTATGTGCAGAGGCGCGTTATCATTTTGAATATGGTAATGCCCCAAGTTAATCATTGATATTGTGGAGATATTAATTCGCAGTAAAGCGTACAAGCGGACCGGTTTCGGCCGTTTGTACGGAATAATGTGAATGTGAATTCATCAAACTATACCACATTCTTTCAATCATCAAGTGTATAGCTTTTTTGATCGCGCGCACCATATCTTTTGTGGCTTCCCTTTTCTATGAATTTTAGCTTTGTGAAGGCCCCGCCGTGTATATTTTTGTCAACACCAGATTACTCAATTGACTGTTCACATCTGCTGTCATTTTTGTCGTAGTGACTTTATGTTTGACCACAACTCCTTTTTAACGTTCGTGCATTTCTGTCAATTAAGACTTTGGGCTTCGTTCACTATTCCTTTTACCCGGTTTTATGTATATTGCAATTACCCGGAGTACTGGCGCTCATGAAACGTTAAACAGTTCAACTGATTTCGTCACAGAAACTCACGCTAACTGACCACCAACGATTTGCTCTCTTTCGAACTCTAAGAGATCACGCATTTCACCGATGTTCGCCTGTTTTAACCGCCGCACATCGAAGCGTATAACACATTGAAATATAACCTACAACACTTAGCACGTAAGCAGTGCAATATGTGCCCGTCTCCTCGTTTGCACGGTAACAGTGATGCCAATATATGTGTATATAATGTTCGCATTATTTTGTCCACCTCCAGGACATATATACCTGTTTATAGAGAATTCACGTTTCACTAATGCAATGAATTGAATTTTGCGCATTTGCTTAAAAGTGATTCAAGTCTATATGAAGCATTCGCTCGAAGCATCTGCCTCTCTGCTTCCCTCCATTCCCGGCTCTTTCCTAAAATCGCAATTACGATGAAAATTTACAGAAAAAAAAAAAAAAAAAAACAGAACAACAACATCGAAAAGATGAAAAAGACCTTAGGCATAGAGCAGGCAAAGGATCGCGACTAATAATTCCAATGATCGCGAATTCAAATCTCAAATGCGGTAAAGTTTTCAATAAGGGCGAGCATTTCAGTCCATACTTTGCAAATTTATTTACAAATAAGTAAATAAAGGCCTAAATTTTAATTATTAAGTTTTCGCTGGAATACCGAACATCGTTGAAATCGGACCAAGGAACTCGTGCCTGCAACGAGCAATGCGTCATTCGTAAATGAGATGCGCTGCCTCAGGGTACTTTCAATCTATACAAATATTATTATTTACGATATCTATGGCGTTCTATTAAATTGTATAAAAATATGCTTTTTATTTTAAATATCGTATATTCGCATAACGTATCGTATACTAATTGATCTTTGCTCTCCGCATATATTATGCAATTAAATATCGTTGTATATATATACGGCATAAATGTTGCTTATCTATATGATGCACACGATATTATTATCAAATGTTTACTAAAGAGTTTCTTCGTTTCAGCACAAGTTAGTAATGCGTTTTAAAAAAAAAATAAATCAGTCCGAGCAGTACGTGAAATCTCTCTTATTCTTATTGCGCGTACATACATTTTTCATTGTAAAGATAAGTAAATGATGCTAACATAATAAAACTTTTAACAGCAGTCATCCGCTTATATTTTAAAAATTAATAATAAAGAAATTAACGTAACTTTTAGCAAAGCGCTTATCGTAAAATGTTAATTTATTTAGCTTATTACGCACTCAAGTCAAAACCGAACTCTTTACGTTTGCAATCCTTTGTTTAAGAATTCACTATATACTATGTTTATGAAATTTTATAAGAAATAGTATGCTAAACAATATTTCTCTCTAAATATAAAAATAAACCTTAAAAAAAATTAAAAATTTATCAGATACTGTAGATGATGTTCAATCATCTCATGTTGAGTACACATACTTTGGACATTTATAATAATAATAATAATAAGATGAGGTAACCTAATCTCATATAAATTTTTTGTCGAATATTTATATTTTATACCTTTGCCGGTTTATTATGCCTTAAGAACACGAAATCTCCACAGATGTAATTGTTATTCATTCAAACATAGAGATGAATATTGAAAACCAGAGATAAACTTCTGGCTTAGGCAAAAAGATCACTAGATCACTATACCGCTCTTCCTATGAGATATTACTTAGGTTATTCTAAACACAAGTTGTCGTTCGTCGATACTAATTTTCATAAGCGCACTTTCATAACATTTTGAAATTTTGATTACAAAAAAAAAAAAAAAATTGTTGTTCTCTTATCATTGCAATCGCTGGATAATTTCATTTTGTCGAAAAGGAATAAACAACAACAGCTGACTAATTTCCCTACGCATATTAATCGATACTCTAAGCAACATCTATAATGCAATATCATATTCATCATTCATATATTATATTATTGTCATTGTCATTTAACTAACAATACTAGAGCGTATCGTAATGAATTTACAAAACAATAATAAAAGTTATTAAAAAATTTTACAAATTATTACAAACAGAATGGCAATAAGTATTTATAATCATCATCATTATTATTGTTATGTTTGAACTGGTTATTGCTAAAGATGCACTTGACTTGACTTTGTTACGATCATGTTTCCTTTTCGTTAACATTGTTTCAAAATTCACAATTCAATTGGTATGCATTAATTAATTGCAATCGTTTTACCATTAACTGTTGCGATAAACCGTAATCTGCATGCAAAATATTATTTGCTGATTAATCGATGTTGAAGGCACTCTTAAATTCCGATTTACTTAAAACATTTAAAGCAATTAAGGGGCAATAAATTTTCAATAAAATTCAAATATTTAATATTGCAAATAACGATGTATGTACGTGCGTTGCCGTTAAGATTGCTTTCTTTGGCAACCCGCTGTGTATTAACCCATATTTTCAAAGAAAAAAAAAAAACCAAAAAAAAAAAGAAAAAAAGAAGAGAAGTGAGCGCACTTGGATTCATCTCATCTCTCATTTCTATGCTGAGAAATGTGCATATGTATATATTATATATTACATATATATTTATATATATAAATATGTAATATATATATATATATGTATGTATTTATATATGTAATATATACGTATATATGTATGTATTTATATATGTAATATATATATATGTATGTGTTTATATATGTATATATATGTATATATATATATATATGTGTATGTATGTATGTATGTATGTTTCATATCGATCACCTAAAACTTCTAAATTGGTTGGTCTTATATCCTTTTCTCTTCCATCGACTCGTTGGCTATATAATCGATATTAGAATATGAAGCGACTTTCTTCAAACTTACAATTACTGATACGGCGAAAAGTGGGCAAAGGAGATCTTCTACAGAAGCCAAGTTTTATTTAAGTTTTAAAGCATGTGAAGGGCAACCGACAGTTTCACTTGCTATCACTCATCTTAGTTTTGCTTAAAAACTCATTTTTCTTTATCATCATATTTTCATTTATCTACGTTAGACTGAAGTATGTGGACCATCCATTTTTAAGCTCGGAACGTGAGCGTGATTAAAACACATTTCTAATTGAGATTTGGATCAATTTTTTTTTCAATGTATCGTTTGGATCTTAGTCAGTTGGGACCTTGGGAATTTGCTAAAACTTATTACAAAAACAATGGATCCATCAGTTTACACGATATCGTGTATGTGCGATGAAGTTTATATATGCTTGAAGGAACCCATTGCCATACAATCGCCGGCTATCCGATCGCAAACTGAAATTTCTCTGCTCGACGTACGGAGCTCGAACCGAAGTGGTTTTACGCTGTAAACAGCACAACATGGTTCACCTGCTCATCAACAAATATGGCGTAACAAGTGTAACGGTATCGATTATTTCAAGATTTCACATTTTTTTTTTTTTTTTCAATTAAGTTATAGTT